ACTCAGTTTATAAGTCGCCCCGCTGGGAAGTCTTTCCTGACTAGCCAGCCTAGGACAACCTTCAACAGTTAGTCTTTAATACTGTGCTTCACTTCTACCGTATCTGAAATGATCTAGTCACCTGTTTATTAATTTTTAAAAATGTCTCATTCTGCATTGCCTCCCCACTCCCGCCGCCGCCCTCATATGTAAGCTGCCGAAGACACGGGGGCCCCTGGCTGTCCTCTTTACTATTGTATTGTCAGAACATGGCACAGAGCATTCAATGGTTCGTTTTTTAAAAATAAATCACATGAAAAGGAATTTAGTATATATAAGAACATGACATATTTTGACTATAACAGATGACTTTGGAAGATCTAGGTACATGGGGCCCATTCATTTTTCAGTGTGGCCTGAGGGTTAAGAACATGGAATCAGATGGTCTGGCTGTACTATCTCCTAGCTTGATTATAAGTGTGGGCAAATCAATCTCTCTGTACCTTATTTTCTCATCCACAAAACAAGACACAAGTAATTACTGGCTAGGGTTATAGTGAGGATTACAGAGATTATGAGTGTAGATTACTGAGAACAGTGTGTGGCCCATATCACATGTTCAACAAACATTGTATTATTCCTACATATGTCTGATCACTAGTCCGTGGCTGGGAACCTGCAGGGACCTGGGTGAGGGGTGGAGCACCTCCTCTTCATGGCAGGAAGGCTGGCAGAAGTAGCACCCTGCTGCAGAGCTCAGAGGCCACATGGCACATCAGAGCCAGGTGACCTGAGGTGACCACTGAGAGAAGGGGTGCCGACTCATAAGGCTTGGGTACTCGGGGATGGTAGGAGCAAGGCTAGTGTATGGTGCAGATCACTCTTTAAAGACATGAGGCTACTAACTGCAGACAAATGCCCCGTGGATCTAGAGATGTACCGCCAGGTGCACTGGGCCCACTCAGCATTATAGGGTAGGACAGTCACGGGTGTCTTAAACTCCTATTGAAAGGAGAGAGTGCGTCTCACATCTCTGCCCTTGTGTAATTTCTCTTTACGACTATATCATAAAGCTTCCATAAACCCTGTTCCTACTATCAGTCTGAGATTGTTACTTCCGAGAAAAATAAGCATAATTACAGAATAAAAGGAAGATGACCCAGAGTTTTAAATGTCAAGTCCCTGACCTCAAACAAAATAGATTATCTCCACACAGCTAAGAGTCATAATTATTAGTAATGCCTAATAAGAGTCACCTTTTAGTCACAGATTCTAGGACAGGAACTTGGTACGAAGCACCAAATTGGATCCAGCCAATGACTCACGTGATTGTCACAGTATATGGT